CAGCTCGTGTTCTTTACTGTATATTACAGTCCAAGGATGTTTCTGCTATTTGCTGTGGTGCTTATTGCTTTACTTCACTGTGCCTGGACACCTTTTGTAAAAGGCAATGGCCGTGATCCAGGGCTGGCATACATCCCTGGCATTGATGCTCCTCTTGTGCTGTGTGAGCTCCCTTGTGGGAAGCATTAGGGATTACACCTCCCTCTGCTCCTCTGGGATGGATGTGTCCAGCTCTTCTGCATGGGCTCCCAAGTTCCCGGCACATCATCATGCACACTGTTTGATCATATTCTCTAGCACTGCTGGACTGCTGTTGGGCTTGCAGAACCTAGCTTGGTCCTGGCACAAGAGTAAACAACTTGGTGAGGTGACAAAGAAATGTGCACCAAGGTGGCCAGTCGGTGCTGGCAGGGTTTGTGGGAGGATTTGGGAAGGTGCCTAGAACAGTTATCACCTTAAATAGCCTGAGATTTTACACTTGAAAAGGCACATAAACCTGTTGAACTGGCTCAACACTTGAAGGAAGGTGCCTTTCCTAACCCAGTGCGACCCAACAAGTTTTGGCAATGTTTTTGGGCTTGGCCTATGTCTACTGAGCCTCAGCCCAGCACCATCAGAGGAGGCAGGATGAGGGAGTGACAAAGTCACCAAGGAGGCAGAAATCACTCAGGCTATAAACTCCAAGTTTTAAAGGAGCTGCAAGATCTGTGGAAAAATTACAGCCACAAGCCAGGTGGGCAGATTGCTGCCTAGTTGCTCCAATGTCAGGATACTGGGGTCTGCTGTCAGGAGTTAGCCAACAAGCCAGGCAGCTGGGATCCCTAAGTAGAGACACTGGGACTGACAAAGGGAAGCCTTTGGACATAATTCCTGTTGACAATGAAAGCCAGTTACTCCCTTAAGGATGACTTGGTACAATGCCTGGGCAAGAGAACCACCACTGTAAAAGGTATCCAATGCTTGAGGGAAGTAGAGCTGGTGGGACTGCACCCAATCCATGGGCAAAAGATGTACATAACTCACCAGTGTTGTATGCCAACGCCATGGGGCTGAGGCACTGGACAGACCCCAAACCACTAACTGCAGAGTGACTGTCCAATGGCTCCTGGGATTCAAAGAGAACTTCCCCTCCTCCCCCTGACCAAAGGTCTAACTCTCGGCTGCCAGAGATGCCCCACAGAGTTGTCTCTGTCCTGCCAGAGGGAAAAAGCCATCCAGGGTATGCCATGCCAGCCCGTGGTTCCTCCTGCACAATCAGGAGGATGAAGTGGAACAATGTGCCCACCTCAAAACTAGAAGCCCACATGCATGGACTGCAAGGAAAACTACTGCTACACAGCACCCATCCAAGAACACTGCTTTGATGGCCTGGCATGTGATCCACAGAAGTAGAAAGCCTTCTTGGACATTGCTGCACAGCATAACCTAACATCATAAGATACAAAGGAGCAGAATCCATCTGGATTTCTGGAGTGACCTAGACTGGGAATGTCAGGGTCAGTTAGCTCCAGTCAGTAGCTTAGTGAGCCTGTGAAACATCACAACATCTAGGGAAAGATGCAATATGTGGGTGGGCATATGCTTGAGGGGTACACCAGAACACTGAAGTATCACACAGGTGGTAGATGGCAATTCTGCAAAGGGCAGGGAGAAGATAATTCAGAAAGATGGGAAAGAGAAGCATTAGGCAACAAGCACCAAACTCTTTTTTCCCTAACTAATTTACACACTAGAATTTTATTGACTTTGTCTGCATGGAGAATCTACATACTGAGATTTCACAACGGTTAGATGCTGATGCAGGGTTTGGGCTTCTCAGTATTACAAGATTACAAAGAAAAAGCAATAGCCCCTGCTGATATAAATCAGCATGGTTCCATTGACTGCAGCCACCTCACTGACTTAGACAAGACTTAATCAAATACATCTGTGATCACTGTCCTATTATTCCTTCCCACTGGGGTCTCAGTGTTATTCAAGACACCGATAAGGATGAAAATCAACATCATGTCAACCACAGCTTCAAAGTCTATCTGTCCACAGCCCGTATCCATCTAAATTTAATTTGGTAAGATTTATCTGAGCCTGATGTAAGTAAATTAATCATGCAGAGCACTGACCTATCCTACCCCAGGCTCTCATGCCCCACGCTGCATGTTTATTTGGAAGGTAATCTAATTTGATGCAAATGTGCTTATCTAGATGGAAAGCAAACTATGATAGGTACGTTAGGAGGAAGAAAGCCTTCCAGGATGCATGCCTCAGTGAATTCTTTTGTATGAGGAATACAGAATCTATTGTACTGTTGTTGTTGATCTGCACTGGATTTATCCAGCGCTCCCTGCTCTTTGTCTCCATATGTTTGTGAAGCACAGTTAAGCTCCTAAGCTCCAGTCAGCTCAAAACTGGGTAGAATGCACCAGCCCTTCTCTCTGGGTTTCCCATAAAGAGCTTAAGCAACTTTGGAGAGCTGCTGGGTAACAGCCTCCTGCCTGCAAGGTACCTTTGGCAAATGAGAGTGAAATCCTGAGAGATGTTTGCTAGCATGATGCTGAAGCATTAGAGCCCACTGAGTGGCCAGCAGTGGCATAGCCTGGCTTTGTAATACAGAAGAGAGTCAGAGCACAACACCTTGACCTGAGTAAGGGACACCGTGGAGGTCTCATATTCCTAAATATGTAAGATCCCAACCAGTGCTTAAACAATTTGGTGACAAAATTATTATTATTATTAATAGCAACTGTCTTCTAGACATAAGATGTCTCCTGTCCCACTCCGTTTGTTGAATCTCGCTCACCTTTGCCTCCCAAGCTATATCTTGCACTTTGGCTTTATCTCACCAGAGTGGTAAGAGAGGGATCAGAGCCAGTTCTGCTTTCCAGCAATACTACCCCATGAGGTGAAGCACAACAGAGCTGAGAGGGAGGTGTGCTGATGGATGCCGGGGCAGGGATGACACCAGGCAGAGGATGTGTCTTGTTTTTTCCCTCTTTCCAACCATCTCACTTGTTTCAACACTCTTCTCTCTCCACTCGCCTTCCCCATTTTCATCTGTTTCAGAGGAGAGAGTTCTACCCTACAGCATCCTTGCAGAGTATGGCAGCATGAAAGTAATTCCTGCTGCAGACCCTCACACAGACAAATGGACTGATACTATAGAGATGTGTAAGTTGTGTGCGTGCAAAAGCTGTAGAATAGCCAGCTGAGAGCAAAGGCGTGGCTGTCCTCCACTGAATGTGTACAAATGAAAATAAAACAGAGAAGGGTGAAGTGATCAGAACCGACAGTCCCGTCGCCAGCCCATCCTGCTGTAGGCTGCTGCCCTCCTATGGCAAACTGGAGCAGCAGTCCTGATGCCCGGAGCTGTTCTCTGTATTGCTGAAACGCAATACAGAGCTGCAGGCTCCGGCTGACAGAAATCACAGCTTCCAAACACCCAGTTTGCCATCTCGCTGTTTGTCTGAAGTAGGAAATCAGCACCCTGGGGCACTCAGCCTCTCTGCTTCGCCAGAGAAACTTTTGTGGATGGAAAGAACCGTGTGCTGCTCAAGGAGCATTTGCCATCCTGAGCTTGCGTTGAACAAAAACATCCCTGCAGAGAGGGCGCAGATCTGCGGCTCTTCTCCCTTAGTGACAGCTCTTTGTTGCTATTGTTGGGGTTTGTTTCTAATGTCTATGTCTCTTAAATCGTGGGGCCATGAGGACCTCATGAAGTTCAACAAGTGCAGGGGGATACATCTGGTGGGGCAATCCCATATGTGAGCACAGACTGGGAGAGGTATTTACTGAGAGCAGCTCTGACAAGAAGGACTTGGGGACTCTTACGTATAAAAAGTTGAACACAACGGGGCAGCATGTGCTCACAGCCCAGAACAACAATTGTGTCCCGGGCTGCATCCAAAGCAGCGTGGGCAGCAGGGGAGGGAGGGGATTCTGTCCCTCTGCTCTGCTCTGCTGAGACCCCACCGCAGTGCTGCATCCAGCTCTGGGGGCCCAGCATAAGAAGGATATGGATCTGTTGGAGCAAGTCCAGGGGAGGCCACCAAGATGATCAAAGGGCTAGAGACCTACAAAGGCTGAGAGAGTTGGGCACGTTCAGCCAGGAACAACTTAAAGGGAAACCCCACTGCGGCCTTCCAGCACCTTGGGGGGCTTATAAAAAGAAAGAGACTTTTTAAACGAGCCAATAGTGACAGGACATGGGGCAAGGGTTTTAAACCTTGAGGACAGGTTTACATTAGATATTAGGAAGCAATTCTTTACCATGAGGGGGCCAGACATTGGCACAGGTTGCCCAGAGAAGGTATCTCTGAGGTATCAGATATAAACATTGCAATCCCTTTACTGCCCAGTTATTTATCTGGTGAACCAATAAATGCATTCATTATGAAAATTCGACTTGTATGTATTTCTAAAAAAAAAAAAAAAAAAAAAAAAAAAAAAAAAGTAGCTTTGGATTAGATATTAGGAAGAAATTCTTTACTGTGAGGGTGGTAAGGCACTGGCACAGGTTGCCCAGAGAAGCTGTGGATGCCCCATCCCTGGAAGTGTTCAAGGTCAGGGATGGGGCTTTGAGCACACTGGTCTAGTGGAAAGTGTCCCTGCCCATGTCAGCGGTTTGGAAGTAGGTGATCTTCAAGGTGGTTTCCCTGCGTGTCACAGAGCGGAGCAGCTCCTGAGTCACCGGCTGAGGGCGGACATGGCGGCCGGAGCGCTGGGCTCCTCCTATCCGCACGGGGGCGCTGTGCCACCGCCTTCGGCCGAGCCCTACCGTGCCGCCGGGGACTACAGTACCCAGCATGCCCCGCGGGGCCGGCCGGAAGCGGCATTGAGCGAGCGGAAGCGGAGGGCTGGGGCGTCATGAGGGGCGCCGCGAGTAGCGGTGCTATCCGTGCCTGGGCCGGCCCGCTCCTGCTCCCGGTCCCGGCCCGGCTGCCCCCGGCTCCTCGCAGAGGTGAGAGGCGCCGCAGCGCCGTGCTCTGTTCTCGGTCCTCCGGCCGGTTGGCAGCGCCGGGCGGGCCCGCGGCTGCCGCGGTCGGGTGAGCCCGGGCTGGGTGTGTGGGCGGCGCTGGCCGGACTCGGCTGCGGGGCCCGTCCCTGAGGCTGTGTGAGGGAGCGCTGAGCGCCTTCCCTCGGGGCTGGAACAAGGGGTGAGTTCCACGGGCGGGAGTAGCCGGGTGAGCGGGGTGTGGGGCTGTCAGGTGGGGTTCGGGACGGGAGGAGTCACCGCGGGTGCAGAAGGGCGTCACCGAGAGGTGTCTCAGGTAGGGGTCTGTGGAGTGATTTTCTCAGCTCCGGGCTGGGAGAGGGGCATCCCGTAGAGACTGCAGGAATGGAGCAGTGGGGCCAAGAGTAGCATGGCGAGCAACCAGAACTGTAATAGCAGCTTTCTTGAGACAGCGTCTGTGCAATGTAGTTGTTCAACCCAATGAAAAAATCCAGTTTGTTTAGAAGACAAGAGTTGTGCGTTTAAAAGCTGGGACAGCTCCATGAAAACAATGTTTTGAGTTGATTTTCATTATTTGTATGTAGCAGTCGTTGCATATTAACTCTAATAAAGCCATTAATAATACAGTGCTGTGGCTGGTTTTGTTATAGCTAGTTTAATTATAGTTAGTTAAGTATCTGTAAAATAGCACATAACTTGATTTATCTAGTAGTGGCACAATACAAATTCCCTGTTGTTTAAATGATATAACGCTTTTAAGTAAAGATCAATTTGGTTAAGGCAGAGAGCCAACAGTGCATATAGTTTCAAATAACAAATTCAGAGGTAACGGGGCTGCTTAGATAACAAAGAATTAATCAGAACAGAATCTGTAATATGCAAAGCGACACATACATAAGGTGAAGAGAAACGTGCTTGAAATAAAAGTAGGAGAAGCAGTGCAACCTACTTGTAGGAAGGCACAGAGTGTAGAGTGGATCTTTAACTAATGCATGAGGTTAACTAATACCTCTTTAGATATTAGCTATACCTAATCTCTGAGGTATTAGATAGAAACATCATATCCCTTTACTGCCCAGTTACTTCCCTGGTGAACCAAGAAATTAATTTATCATGAAAATTAGACATGCATATATATTTTTTTTTAATTGTAGCTTTATGTTCACACAAACCACTCAAAATGAGAGATTTGGATTAGATATAAGGAAGAAATTCTTTACTGTGAGGGCAGTGAGGCACTGGCACAGGTTGCCCAGAGAAGCTGTGGGTGCCCCATCCCTGGAAGTGTTCCAGTCCAGGTTGGATGGGGCTCTGAGCACACTGGTCTAGTGGAAGGTGACCCTGCCCATGGCTGGGTGTTGGAACTAGCTGATCTTTAGGATTCCTTCCAAACCATTCTGTGATGAAATAGAAAGGTGTTGGAATTAAGGCTCAGCAATTTAAATAGCAATGAATGCTTAATTGCATAACGTTATTCAGTATTTTATAAGTATGAAAATTATATAAGTGATGTTTCCCAAATATAAAACAATTGGCCGTGGGGGTTTATTTGTGCTGTGTCAGGATGCTTGTCTATTGCACAGTCACATGAATGCAGTTAAGACAGACCTGTAAGTTATTTAGTGTAAATTCCCTGTGGAAAAGAGATTGATAGTTTCTGGTGTGTGCTGTAACCCAGCTTTTTGTTGCAACATACATGCAGCTTTTCTATGATGAAAGAAATTAAAACTAGTGTATTGTATGATAAGCCAATCAAGGTAAGATTAAGGCATGTGTTTTTATTTCCAGGTTTTGCTGCCACGTTCATTAGGAAGTCATATGATGTCAGAAAAGTTGATATCACTCCCCTGGAGCAGAGGAAGGTGACTTTTGATACCCATGCTTTAGTGCAGGATCTGGAAGCCCATGGTAAGTGATATCAGATAAATAATTCAAAGGAGAACTTTTAATATTAAGTGGTGTAACTTAGAGTGCTGTCAGTACCAGTACCTACCTGGTGGTGTAAAATGTTTTGGCAGGAGAGGCATCTGATGCTGTGCCATACCAATAACTAGGACATTAGATTTTCCTCGTTTGTAGCTATAGGCAGGTTTATGTTGTGCCTTCCAGCTGAGGAACATAACACAGGTAACAAATGTAAAGTAACAGTAGCAGTTAAAGATTTTTTGCAAAACATTTTATAGCATTTTTTAGCAAAACTAAAGCTCTTAAAGAAATTTCTTCTACTAAACTGCTAAGAGTAACTGAAGAGGTTTTTTTCTAATTAGAAATGTTTTCAGTAGCATAGTGCTGTGATACATTCTCAAAGCCCACACTTGTGAGTGAGACTGGCTGAAGTCAGCTAAAGGGTCCATCCAGCCCTGAGTTCTGTCTCCTGGCAGCAGCTGTGAGTCAGAGCCTGCAGAGGACTGTTATAACAGGGCAGATGTGTGTCACACATCCCCTTGTGTTTTCCAAGTTTCCAGGTTCTGTCACCCTGGAGGTATTTTAAATCAGTTGAGAGTTTTAGTAACCTTCAGTGGAAATCTTTTCACAAGTTTATGCAGTCCCTGAGCCACTATAAACTGATTACTATCCAAAACATCCTTTCTCATGGAACTTCAGACATCCACATGTTTTGTTTATGCAGAATCTGACATCTGTGAGGTGAATTTGATGCCCACTCAGCTCTTCTGTTGGAAGGAGTGAACATTTAATCTCTGATGTCACGATTATGCAAACTTCTATCATATTGCCCTGTCGTTTTCCAAACAGAAGAATCCCAGCTTGTTGCATTTTTCCTGAAACAGTAGATTTTCCATATTTTTGCTTATTCATGATGTCCTTCTGTTAATATTTTCTGCTTCTGTCACATTCGATTCCATTTCATGTTTTCAGGGGACAGTGCTGGCATTACGTGACAACTGAATGTTCTATGGATTTGCATTGTAGAGTAATGTTGTGTCTGTTCTCCGTTCCTTTTCCTAGTAATTCAAAGGGTTTGGCTTGCTTTATTGATTCCTGCTGAGCTTTAAGCTGATGTCTTCATCAGACTAGCAATTTTAAAATCCCAAGTGACAGTAGAAACTTTGTACAGTCAGAAGTTAGGACTGTTTCCACTATTTGGGTCTAATAATAATACATGTTAGTACTTAAAAGACTTACAGTAGCGTGGTAACTATGTTTATTTTTTTATGCTTGTCAGACTTGACAGCCTATATTTCCCTACATCTCTCTAGAAGTGTTTTTAAAAACTGGCACTGTTATTTTCCAGTCCATGGGTAACCACGGCAGGCTGTGAAACGTTACTGGTCTCAGGGACTGATTCAGCTATTTCTTCTTCTAATTCCTTTACAACTTGTGGGGTGAAGTTTGTCTGATGCTGGTTGTTGTTCAGTTTAATTTGTTCTGTAACTTCTACAAATACTTGAGTACCACAGGTCTTCATAGGTAAAACCACAAAAGTAAGAGAGCAATTTTAGTTTTTCCCAAGTTTTAGGCAGTTTTCAGGCTCAAATCTCTTGCTTATATAAATTCTTCCTCATTTTCTAAGCTTTCACAAAACACAGTCATTTCTTGCTGTGGAGCAACATAAGGAATTTGCAAGAGCTTAAGTAACCCTGGAAATTCAGAGAAATTGAAGCAGTACTATCATGCTTTATAGTGGAAGGAAGCTGTCAGAAAGCATGTGTAGCTTTTTTAAACATGTAAACCAGTGGTGCACCTGGACAGTACCAGCATTCTAGAAGGGAGCAGTGGCATAGTTCTCTAAATAATGTGCCTTGAAAGCATTTCTCAGTGTTCATTTAGCCCACTTTATAAAACGGGGTAGTTGAAACAACGTATCAGTCAGATTGCTGGAAATAAATCTCTAGGGCAAAAGCTCTCGGCACTTGACCAGATCCGGCTAAAATGAGAGCAATTTTTCCCCCATTATTCACCCCATATCATCTTTAGCACCTCAAATTTACACCAAGCTACAGACAAAGTGTACTTTTTATAATCAGAAAGCAGAAATTCTGCAGGCAATCGATGCAGCATTTTAAAAATCACCTTTGCATATGTTCCTATCTGTGCAGGACAGTTGCAATATATGCAGAATTACTTGTTATTATTCTATAGAATGCATGCTTTGTAGCTCAAGGTACGTTTGGTTTTAACAGTTTGTGAAAGTTCATTATGAAGTAAAGTTTTGCTAAATTATTTTTATAATGAAGGGCTAGGTCTTATATGAAGACATTTGGTCTTTCTGTCAGTTCATGTATAGACTTTCAGTGTATTAAAAAGTACTATGCTTCAGATTTTTGCAGCATTAAGTTTGTTTTTTCTAGCTGAAGTCACAGTGACTCCTGGCTGTCAGTTTCTAGTCATTGTGTGAATTCTCGTGTGCCACTGTGGTTAGGTGTGGCACTTGAGTGCCTCTTGCTCCTCTAGATTTTTAATTCCACCTTAACTTGTCATCCTTCAATTGTCCCCTAGGCTTTGGGAAGGAGCAAGCACAGACCATCGTGTCGGCGTTGATAACCCTGTCCAATGTCAGCTTAGACACCGTCTATAAGGACATGGTTACACAGGCCCAGCAGGTAAAAACTCCTTTGTGCTGTGTAGCTATAAAGGCTCGTGTCTGCATCTTTAAAACACAAGTGAGCAACTCTCTCTAGTACCATAAACACCTCACTGTGCCAGGTTTTCCTGAGTTTCACTTGGAAGTTTGACAGATGGTTGTAGGCCCTGACCAGCTTCCACTGAAGTCTGACTACTTCATTGAACACAGTGAAGTTTTTACAACTCCTGGAAAACTTCGGTTGCATTACACTGAGGAGCTAGTATGCCTCATACTATCTTAAAATATTCATTACCAATACTGACTATAAAAAGTAGTGTTTCTGCCTAATACAATTACATGCAAATTCTGTTTAGGATGCTTTGCATGTAATAGGATTTCCAAAAAGAAAGGTTTTCATTTTGATGAAAGAAAACCACAGAGACAGAAGTTCTTGTCTTCTGAGATTTTAAAGGAAAAAAAGAAGTTAGACAATTTTATTACAAGTAAATGCTAGTAAGATAAAAATCCGTTAGAAGAAAGGCTGCAGTTCAAATAAAAATGAAAGCTTAATTACATGAAGTAATTGAAGAAGAATGGCACATAATTTCAGCTTGTACAGCCTTCTGGAGCAATGATCAAAACCATCACTGTGCATCAGAGAATCCCACAGCCATGTGTCATTTTCCATGCTAAATAGTAGGGTAACTTCAATATGCTGAGTGAAGGAGTAGTGCTTTCAGCATTTTAAAATACTGAGTTCCTTCCTTTATTTTCTGATTTGATTTTTTTCCTGTGTTTATACGTAGTGGTTGAATTCTGAACTTGTTAATTCAAACACCAGAAAGGCTTTTCTCAGTGCTTTTTAGCAGTGTTTTACTTGTGTCCATCAGCCTTTGGAGATGAAAGTATGGTACTCATGTCATTAAGTCTTTGGTTTTTGATGAATTTGTAGGCAAGAAATGGAAGTGCTTAGTAAGAGCTGCATTCAGACCAACAATTAATGCTTCTGAGACTCCTGAATGTTCATTGAAAGTGGAAGAGACTGCAGGACTGACCTGTAATTTCAGGTCTATTTCATTTCATCACTATTTGGACTAACACCTCTGGCCTTTTTGCTTAAGTTCAGAGTTGGTGTGTTAAAGCAACAGAAAAAACACAAACCTCTTGAGTTTTTCAAACAAACTGCTGGTATGAAATTGTCTGTTTCTGTCACAGTCTTGTTAGAGAGACTGCCCACGTTTATGCTTTGCAGTATCTAATTTCATTATTTCAGACATAAACATTTTTTCTTTATTTGCCAGAAAGAGTGCATGTTAACCAATGGCATGTTTTATTTTTCAAAGGAAATAACTTTACAGCAGATAATGGCACATTTGGACTCCATTCGAAAAGATATGGTCATCCTGGAGAAAAGTGAATTTGCAAACTTGAGAGCAGAGAACGAGGTACTAATACATATTTTCATTAAGCAGTTTAGTTGCAGTGTTTGTTACATTTTACCTGATGTACAGTTGTGTGGAACAAAATTTAAATGTAAAAGTAATTCTGGATACTTTTATCAGAATTGAAGAGTCTGTATGTAACTTCAGAGATCACATCAAAATATATTTCACATGCTGTGACCTGCTCAGATCTTCTGTAAAGGATTCTAAGATGTGTACATCTTTTTTCGTCTTCTGTAATTTTATTTATGGGCAACTGCTGGTTTCTGGCCATTAACCATATAGTGCAGGGAAAGAAGTCAGCCATTCCTTTGCAACAGTTTAATTAATTTGGTGATTGAGACACGTTTTGTTTTAGTTCATAGTATTTGGGTATTTCTCTGCTGTCTTTAGACCCAGAATAACAGGATCATTGTTACAAAATAATTCCTTTATTTTGAAGAAATCCCAGCAGATTATATATGCCTGTACATCCAAACATATTAGTTAGGGTATTTAATCAAGAACAAATTGCCCCATTGGGAGGAAAAATGACAGAAGAATAATTGCATGGATGCAGTGATAGCACTTAACATCACTGATTCATTTAGTTAAGTTTCCTAAATTTGTAATTTTTTTTTTTTCTCCTCTGCACTTAGAAAATGAAAATTGAATTAGATCAAGTTAAACAGCAGCTAATGGTAAGTAAACAGCAAGCACCTACAGACTCCTATTTGGGAGAATAAATAGCTATTTTTATAATCTTAATTTTTTTAAAGACTGAAACCGGCAAAATCCGTGCTGACAGCAAGCTAGACATAAACCTGGAGAGGAGCAGGGTGACAGATATGGTAAGTTGGTCTGTGAAGATGCCCTTATTAGCTCTGTGTTGTGCTTCTGTTGCTACAATTGTGATTTTTCTTTTATCCACAGTTTACAGATCAGGAGAGGAAACTGATGGAAGCAACTACAGAGTTTCATAAAAAAGTAAGTCTTGAACAAAGCAGGATATAGTTATGCAGTGCATGTTATATAAACCCCAAACTTTGGTGAAAGCCAATACATTTCTGGGTATGGTAAAGCAAAAGGCACGGCTCTGTCACTCAGGAGTACTGTTGTAGGTGTTTCTTGCCTGTGGGATTCACACTAAATTCTAATCAGCAGAGGGAGGATGCATGCAAGCCTTGTCCATTGCTTCCCAAGTACCTTGTTGCATGCTGGCACAGCTGGGATATGAGCTATCATGCTGCCCTTTTCCCAGTGTTAACTGATGAGCCGTACCACAGGGATGGTGCAGGTGCCTACAGCCAAGCAATTCAAAAGCTGGAAGTCCTCAAAGCTGTGAGAGGACAGCAAAGTCTAAGAGGCTGAAGAGGGACAATGTCCCATCTTGAGCCTATCTTCCATTTTTGTGATATGCCTTATGAATGCTTAAACCTTCGTTTTTCAAAAATGCAGGAATACTCTTCTCTGTGCTGTAGAATATCTCCTTTGGGAGGCACTGGCACACCAGAGATATAAGTCTGTCTTGAGGGTGATGAGACACTGGCACAGGTTGCTCAGAGAGGGCCTCAGTGAGGTCCCCATCCATGGCAGTGTTCAAGGCCAGTCTGGAAGGGGCTCTGGGTAACCTGGTCTAATGAAAGATGTCCCTGCCCATGGCAGAAGGCTAGAACTAGATGGTCTTTAAGGTCCCTTACAACCCAAGCCAGTCTGTGATTGTATGATCATTGGAGTTTTCTCTTTTGCTGTCTCTATTCGTTCAGCAATCTTCCTGGACTGTATAAAGCAATGTTCTCTGTCTTCTAATGTCTTAACAGAGATAGGTTGGAAATTGTTCCTTGTTTCTGGTAGCATAGTATTTTAGTTTCGCTTTGGAAAGTTGAAGGGGCTGGAGACCATTGTCTAATATATGCTATCTTTTAATATTTCAGGATGCAAATACCAACAGCATTATCTCAGAAATCAGTTATAAAATTGACACTGAAATAGCTTCCTTAAAAACGCTCATGGAATCGAATAAACTTGATACCATTCGCTATTTGGCAGGTATGTGATAGGCAAGGAGGTGAGTACCAGTACTAGGTCATGGAAAATTCTTTTCAGGAGTGCTAAAAGAGACATAGCACGTCTGTAGCAGCAAACAGCTGGGATTGGGTGGAGAAGATCTCTCTTCCCCCTCCAGCTGGAAGAAATGTGACAGAGAACACAGAAGAGGTGAAGGCATGCCACAGTTGGACTAGGATTGTGCCCAGAACTGGGATTAGGACAAATATGGACGTGTTTAAAAAAAAATTAAAAGCCTGAATACCTTATCCAGTTTGACACTACTTCTGCTTGTTGCAGCAGCCATTGATGTGATGGGAGTTGCTACAGAGGTTTTGCTGAGGTCATTTACATTAGCCTGAAAGTTTGCTATCATTCAGGACTGGTCTGAGAGTGACCAGTTCTGCCTCCTGTTGAGTCTCCACACACAATTTGTACTTTCCCCTGCCAAGCAGAACAAATTTCAGTCTGATTTGAGATTAGTCTTCTCAATATATACATAACCAGTGAAGTTTTTATTGTGTAGGAGCTGGATAAAAAGAGAATAATGCACTATATTTGGAAGTGAGAGTAAGTTCAAAGGAAAATGTAATCAGCTTTATTCTAACGCTAATTGAAACAGCAGCGTAACAAATCCAAAGGACAATTTGTCAGGCTTCAGGAGTGCTGCCATGTTTGACAGCTCATTTTCCAATTCGCTGTCATTTTGGTTCCATGGGAAATCTGCAGTGTCTAATGTGAGCCCTGGTGCAGCCACCTCTCCTGTAGTGCAGTTTCCAGTTGCTGGGTGACAATAGTGAAAGCCCCTGTAGCCTGTGGTGCTCTGAGATATCCAGCACAGTTGTTGGGATGTGTCCCTGAAAACGTGGCTCCTCAGGCTGCTGCATTGGGCTTCCCATCTCAGCACTGTGGCTGTGCTGCTGTGCAGGGTATGGCATCTGAGACCAGCCATTGGCTTCTGGAATTGTTCTGTTGCACTGCAATTGTTCTGCAGCAATCTGGGAGGTTTAGGAGACTGCTCTACAGTGGGAACATTCTTCCATCTGTTTGCAGCTTATTTCCTCTATGGATAAAGTGGTATAACAGCATTCAGCTAATTATCTCCTTTCTTTGTTGATTTTTAACAGCTTCAGTGTTCACTTGCCTAGCAATAGCACTGGGATTTTACAGGTTCTGGAAATAAATCTACATGGAATGACTGCACTAAATACAGACAGAAAAGGCCACCCAGGCAACACCAGTTTGACTATCATACTTGTGCTGTAGATAACCTTGGAACCTTTTTGTTTTATAATAAAAATGTTTTCTGAATCTGTAACACTAAAGAACAAAATTACTGGGGGGAAGTAGCCAAATAGTAAAATTTTATTGTCTCCTGTTCAATACTTTATTTATTTCAAAGTATTTCTTATGCTATACCAGAAAGTTTCTTAATATCTTTTAGAATTAAATTTGTTTTCTTTCTGGAAAATTCTCACTCTCAGCTTCTTTCAAAATGGAAATATTAAACACTTTATTTACCCTTGAAATGGGAATACAATTTCCAAATTAGTGTTCCCAGTATGGGGATGCTAATACCAGACTTCAACATAGCTAATCTAATCCAAGAAAATTAATTTATCTTGAACATAGGCTCAGGATTTTGCCTTCAGTCTGTTCCTCACTTTTCTGATGAATTGTAGCTTAGCCTTTTGGGGTTTTTTCTACATGTAAAAGCACACTCCAGGCCTTTACTAAGGAACCTCCTTGGTTTTTTTTCCTTGAAAACTGATTTACATGAATGCAAAGTCTCATGTACAAAATGTCTTTATAGATTTATTTTCTTTAGTATCTTCTGCAATTTCTGTAAGCCCAGAGATCAAAAGAATTAGAGAATTTCTCTGTCTTTGCCTTTCCAAGAGGAAATGCCTCCACTCCCAGCAGCTGTGTACAGCCCTGGGGCAGATAAGTGCTCTTAACTTCCCCCCCAAGTAGCGCAGAGTATTTCCAAGGAACCTGCACATACTTTCTGGGCATAGTATCTGGCTCTTAATATAATAATCTCAGTGGTGCCAGTGATCCTCCTCCCCACTCCTCCAGACTCTTCTGTAATCCTGTGGGACACACTGACCCTCCTGACCACTCTGCCTTCTGCAAGGACTTGACAGCTCTGGCTGCAGAGTTGCAACACAGGTGGATGCCTTCCAAACATGAAGCAGTTCCATCTTGTTGAGTACAAACGCAGATGCTTGGTTTGATTCTTTTAGTAAAATAGTATTTTTTGAAGTGTTTGTGGATTAACTTTGAAGTAAGAATAGGCCTTTTATGTGCTAAGGACTATGTAGTACTGACTAGTGGCATTTTTTTTATTGCTGTTTTATTCTGTTTACAGTTGAACTTGCTGGTATTCTGCCAATTCTTATATTTTCTGCATTAAATTATTTATCATCTTCATTCAAGAAAATAAAATTAATTTCCTATATTTGCTGTCTGGCTGAGAGTTTCTGCATGGAAATTTAGCACCAATGGTGATGGAGGAAGTAGCTCATCTGGTGAGCTACACACCCTGAACTAGGCTCTTGATGAAAGGCTTATGCTGTTAATTCAGTGTGCCTCTCCTTCATGGTGCACACAAAAACATGTTTTTTTAGTTTTCAGTATCTTTGAAATTCTCTGAGATTAAGTTTTCTTTGGTAGTAAGGAGAGGACAGATCAGAACTGGTGCACTAAAATAATTATCTTTTAAGTCCCAAAATGAGGGTTCCAGAGGGAAAATAATTTCACAATAGCATACAGCGGACAGAAAAACTTCTATATGTGTAGTCATTAAATGAATTTTAGGTGTGGAGGGAGGTCAGGGTTGCCATTTCTAACCACAAGCTGCTCCATAACTTAGTAAACCCTTCAGCTCTGAGTTACACTCAGACCAGCTGCTGCAGGTCACCTGGCACCTCACAAAGGAGTTGCTTCCTGCCTTTAGGAATGACTAAAGATGAAAATCAAGGGGCCTGGCACCTCTCTGCAGCTGAGAGATAATTCTCACATCCACTAATCAGCTTCTGCATGGAAAATGCTAGGAGCTAATGTGCACTTTTTTCCATCCTAAGGTAGTAGTACAAAATAGACCTGTGGATGGAGATACTTTCCTCAGAATTGTGGCCAGTGACTTTCCCGTTATTAAGCCAGAGAACTAAAGAACTAAAAACATAGTTCAGTGAAAGGTAGAGACCCACAGCTCATCTGTGGAGCTGGGCCATGCAAACACTGCATTATCTGTAATATTGCTTTTATACCTCCACACTCTGCTGCCCCTCCTTTGAGGTTTATTCCTCAGCGTAGTCTCACTCCTCCTGGGCTGCAGGCTGGCTGTTTCTTTATTTTCTTATTGTCTTTGCAAGACTTGGTCATTGTCTCAGCTTCCTGAAACAAATAATACTGCAGCCATTAAGCAGCAAACACTGAGAGGATGTAAAAATCTACATCTGGGAGTAACCACAGAAAACAGTGTGTTCAGACTGGAGCTGAGGGAAGAGCACAGTCCCAGGGCATGGGATGGCAGCACAGCAGTGAGAGACTTGAAGGTCGCTTGGCTGTAGCAGTCAGTCAGAAAGGCAGCTTGGTTAAAGGGGGAAAATTACCAAAAAAAAACCAACAAAACACCCTGCCTCATGAAAAATATTGACAAAGAATATCTTTGCCAGCCTGGCAATCGCAAGGCTGAGAAGCAGAAACATCCTTGAAAAAGTGCAGCTGGCCTCTGAAATACAGCTGTAGCACCTAGCATTCAGAGCCTGAGATTCCACCAAGAAGCACAAAAACAAGGGACTGCAGAAACAATTGACTGAAAAGGTGGAAAATAGTCTCGGAAATAAAAAATGCTCTGAAAGAATAGAAGCACCATCATCTATTGCCTGTACAGGTGAAAAGTAAAAAATGAGAAACATCATCATCTACTGGCTGCTCACAGTGTTGGTGTCCTCTTCCCTCTTATGTCTCTATCATATAAAAAGAGCTTAATTTTTAATTCAAAATAGAACCTCTGTCTGAGAACTTCTAGTGCTGCATGTACTGTCCCTTTCCCAAACTGAATTCTCTCCATGAATTTTCTATGAGCTCTTGGACTCTCATTCAGTATACCTGACTGACTCCAGACACTGTGACATGGATCAAATCCCTGTTGTTGAACTTGTCCCCCTCTGGGGACCCATAGTAGCGATCTCTACACCCCTGCAGGCTGGGGAGCCTCTTAGGTGGTGACGACACCGCTCCTGAAGCACCATTCGAGTCTCAGACACCAGGTCCCAGTCAAGGGGAGCTGCCAGTCACTGGATATGCCGTGTGGAAGTACTCAAGATCAGTCCACTCCTTTGGGAACATGAAGATGAAGAACAGCGGTGCTTCTCTGCCAGGATACGGAAAGAAACTGATACCCTTTCACAGCAGAGACACTGTCAAGGACAGACAAGGGCTCCTGCTCACTTCAGTGTCCCGAGCTCAAAGCTGCAGCACATTTTCTCTAGTATTTCCTAGCCCCCTAATAGAGGGAACAAAGACACACAAGCAACAGGCAGTGGCCTCTGTGCCATGGCCAGGGGAGCTGGTGTGGCACTCACCGCGGAGGCAGCAGGGGTGGTGCGGGTTTTCCCCCGGCCCTGTCGGAGCCGGCTTATCTCAGCACGGTAATCATCCAGCTGGCTCTCCAGCTTCTCCCGCCTGACTCGTTCATATTCCAGCTGGGCCTCCAGCTCCCGCACAGCCCTGCCAAAAGCAAAGGAGACAAGCAGAGCGTGAGGTACATCCAAACCTGCCCGGCTGCTCCACGTGGTGCTGTGCCTTTGCCAGGGAACAGGCCAGTCACGCAGAAAGCAGCGCAGCACGCCTCTGGCCAGCTGTGCGCAGGGCTCCGCAGCGTGGTGACAGCGCTGAGCAGCAGCTGCTCCTCCCCGGCTGCCAGCGGTGCTCAGCGCGATGGCACCACGAGATGGAGCCGTGTGCCCGCACAGCGAGCCCGGGCCGCCACACACCGAGCACGCCGAGTCCAGCTGCGGGGGAGGGACAAGTGCCCAAGCAGCAACGAAGTTATTATGAAACACAGAAAAAGCACAAAGCCGGCAGCACTCTGGAAAGGTCAGGGGCAGCTTTCTCATGCACATCTGGTGCTTCTACACCCTTCCTATTGATTGGCTTAGGCGCGGACGAGGAATACTCAGATGACAGCTTTGCATAACTGGTTTATACACAGTTGCACAAGATCTCACTGGTCACACCCTCAACGGCTCCTAAATTATTTGAGAGATTCCTGGAACTGTTTAGCTGACACGTAAACTGAGCGTTTGGAGTTGAGCTCGCTCTCTCCTGTATCAGGATGAATTATCACAGCTACAAGGATGGAAGATGAGTAAAAGGAAAGGGAAGAGATCTGCCCTCTGTATTCAAACAGCACAGCAGGAAAGCTTTCAGCAAGATCTAGCATGTTTCTCTGTTTCCCAGAGTGAAGAATTCCTGACTCAGGCCCTTTGAGCTACCAATCAGCCTTACTGACACTGCAAGAATGGCCTGTGCTCAGTGCTCAGGGGACAGCTGACCTCTTCCATGCTTCCAATTAAAGAGGCAAAGCTCCCGAACTGTGTGGCACATTCATGGTGACAATTTCCTGCAATGAACCCTGGTTAAAGCACTGTGAAGTGGTTCACACCAGGCCTCTTACAGCCAAAAAAACAGAACTAAAGCAGAAGTCTTCAAAATCTGCTACAGTGGCCCTCCCAAGTGGCAACTCCTTGCTTTTCATCTAGCAAAATGGTGTTGTCATTAAGTATTTTATCAATAATGAGATTTTCTGGTCTATGATACAAGCATCTTGGGATTTATCCACAGATAGGTACCCTGAGAAGGGTAGGCAGGTATGCTGAGAAGCCTCATTTTCTTTTCAAAAGGATAATTTGGGGCTAGGGATGCTTTCTAGCCTTCAGAGTTCAAAAAGCCCTTCAGAGAGCCTCACAATTTTTCTAGTTAGTTTACACACACATGCCACAGAAAGCAACACCTCTTAAAGAGTCCCAGCAGAGCCTTCTAATTGACACTGCTAGCATTTGAGCAGCTGCTCTATCCAGAATGAACTTTCATGTCTGTCATTAATCAACAGTGACTTTTTCATCATTAAAACCAGATTGCTCTGACCTTTCAATGTAGGCATCAGCACCTGAGTTGGTCACCTTCCTCCTTTAAAACCAGGAGAGACATTTCTAGAAGTGATGAATCTCATCCTGAAGTACATGTCTAATTATGCCCTGGAAGTGCCTACACCTCTCCAAGAACTTGACAAAGGAGCTCACAATAACTGACTCAGATGCAGGTGTCTGTTACCTATTGTATGCATATCAAGTTTAAGGAAGATGGACTTTCAGCATAAGCTGAGTCAAAGGGTGACCTGAAACCAAAAGAAATCCTGACTTCAGTTTCCTGGCTCAGATATCGCTGTAAAACATACAGAACTGCTATCTGTGACACTTATTACCTGCTCCAGATCCACACAGACTGCTGTCTGCTGTCTTCTTGATGCCATATAAACCCCCCCAGACAGTCTCCTCTCAGTGACCAAATAAAGGCAGTGGTTTGGGTTGGCCCAAACACATTATGGAGGTGGTTATTTACAGGGAGTGAGAACAGAGGGTAGCCAAATCTTTGACAGGCAGAGGTGAAGACAGGCCTGTCTTTGGAGGCTTGCAGTATTGTTAAATCCCTAAATCTTTGATAGACTTTTCTTTGAAATTTAAACAGTCTGTCCATCAAATTACCTGACCAATCTAACAGAACCAATTGATTTAATGGAGACACTGAGAATTAGATATGAACAGTGCTTCACATGCAAGGGCAGGCTTGCTAATAGCTTCTTCCTGTGGTCCGGATACAAGCTAATCCTTTCTTGTGCACAGAAATATATTGCCAATGAACAGAAATGTTAGCAGGTCACGGAATAATCTCTGCCGTATATGCACTTCCATCCAAGCCATGCTAAAACTATTGCCTATTTTCAGATTTCCTGAAGGGCATACATGTCTTTGGCATCCTCAGTGGAAACAAAACAGCCAGAACCTATCAGACCTACTGCACATATCTGCAGAAAAACCTGAAGACTGAACAAATTATCTCACACAAGAATCATGGACCTATCAAGCACTTGTGTTGTGGGGCAGATCCTGGTGATTCAAGTTCAGAAATGGCCAAATTGCTGCAGTTCATTTCTTTTGGCCTGGTTGAAGTTGGTAAGTGGAAAAGACAGAATAGCCAAAGGAGTGTAAATCAGCTCTAAAGGAGGACCCCACAGAGTTAAACATTAGCAGGGCAGAACGACCTTACTTCTCAACTTTCCTTTCTTCTTTTTTCATCTTCCTCTCCTCTTCAGTTACTCCCCCCAGCTGTCTGTAGTTGCTGTAGGCAATTTCTAGAAGTCGTTGAAGTTCTTTAATCTTGTGATAGGCCCTTACTATAAGACAAAGGTAGGTAAATCATGCTGGAATCCAATAGTCTGGAAAACAGTCTCACAAACACAAGAGCAAAAATCACACTGCTCAGCAAACACTGAGCTACACCTGACACCCACACAGCAAGCAGATATCAAAAACAAATAGCAATCCAACACTGTTGCACCAACATGGATTAAAATGGTGTAACAATTATGATCTGATTGCCTTCTGCTTGCTTTCTAATATTCCACAATTTGTTTCAATGCTCAGTATTACAGATATCCTGTCAACCATCTCAACGTACAACAAAAAGATCAGAGCAGTTGGCAGGAACTGTCCTAGTTAAGACTACAATGTCTTGGTAACAACTTCTGCAAACAAGGGATGATGGAAATACAGTGCTTACTGCGTGCATTCCTTTTCTCTGCTTTATCCAGGGTTACATCTTCTTTGCTATCAGTACTCCCTTCCACACCATGTGTTTCAAACAACTTTATGTTGTTTGCATCTAGTTCTTCATCACTAGAGTTACTGTTTGCAGTTCTTGGTGTCAAAAGTTCCACAGCTGCCAGGTGGCCAAATCTGCACAGAGAACAGTTAAAATCGAGAAGAACGTGTGGTAGAAACTCTCTGAAACTGTCCATGTTCCCATTTATCAGAGAGTTTTCAGGACTAAAGGAAGCACTGTACACACACTACAACTGTCTATCAACTTTTTGTAGTATTCTCAGAGCATGAGCTCTGCCTCTATGGAATCTTATGGCAATGGCTCCTACATCAGAGGCATCTCTTCCCTTTGCAGGATTTCTTAATTGAATCTCATCAGAATCTGCATTATTTTTCTTAATGCAAAAATCAGTGGCCTCTGCTACTTCTCATTTACTTTGTACAGCAAACTGTAAGCAAACCATTCACAACTGTCCTCTTGCAAATGAGCTAGTTTTCCTCTTTTGTGTCTGACCTCACTAAAAAGAAAATTAAATTGGGTGAAAATTAAAACCTTTTATAGCTACAATATAGCCTTATCACTCAGAGCTGGAATTCATGGGCCTGATCTCTTCTTTCTCAATCACTGAAAATCAGGATTAATTCCAACAAAGCTGACATGATATTGATACACAAATAGTAAGTAAATAAGTGTCAGAGCGACAGGATATGTACTGCTACCTCTTGGCTACATCCTCTGGAGTCTCTCCAGCATCATTTGTAATGTCACAGTCAGCTCCCATTTCAACCAACCACTGTAAGCAATGGATATGCCCCTGTTCAGCAGCTAAGGGAAGGAAGGCATACACAAGTCAATCATATACAACTGAAATGTTTTCAAACCTAAAATGTCCTCCTCTTGCCATTATTTGCCATGTCAGAGATTGGGCTCACTACAACACCACAAGGGAGATACTATTTCAACAGGAGCCTGTGTGTCAAGATGCTGACATCACTTGGGTACCCAGAGTTTTGGGGAAGAGCATGCAGTGTGGTTTGGTGACTCTTTCTAGCTTTAGAAATGTACTGGCAGCTCCTGCTGGACACAAGCTAAACTAAACTCGCCCACTCTCATGTAGGAAGCACAAGACACACAAATAACTGCTGCCCTGATAAGAAAGGCCTGTGTGTCACAGTTTGGCAGCCAAATGCTGTCACCCCTCCCTGGCTTTGGGCTCCCAGGTGTCAGACACAGCTGGCTGCCCCAGTCTGTGGTGTGTGCTGCTGTCTCAGAAGAGAGAAGCAGAGCTTTGTGATGGAGCTAAAGGCACAGCATTCCTTGGGGAAGACACTCAAGGCAGCACCTCTCAGCAGCACCCTAACACAGTCCTACTCATATGATGTGCCATGGCCACTGCTCCCACCACGTGGTGCCAGAAACAATGTCTCACTTATGGAAGATGGTATTTGGCAAGTCTAGATGAAACTGTACACTGATTTTCTCAAGGAAGAATAAATCCATTTCTTGACAGCACTCCCCTTCAGATATTTTTTATACTTGTTTTCTTACTGAGATAAGGAAATGAAATTACAACATCAGCATGTAAACACTGGGGATGAAACTGTAGGTCAGCATCATTGCAAGAAATGAAAGTAGGATTTTAAAATCACTACATACTAGGGTTTTTTAAGTGAGAACTTCAATTATGTTTTAAAAAATTCTACCACTTATATCTAGTCAAAAAGAAATGTAGGAAATATGTTAAAAGCATATTACAAAAATGCTTCCCTCTTTCTTTCATCTTTTGTTTCTTCTTTTAGACAATACTGTGAAACTCCCAAACACAAATTTTTTTCTGTAATGCTAGCAGTCCACTACATGTCAAAGTGCCAACCAGAAGTTTCTATTTCTTCACAGCATCCTACCAAATGACTTTGTTGTGGTTTTTACAACTTATCCCCACAATACTGATGCGTTCAGCAAATAAAGGCCCAGGCCACAATACAGATAATTCTTAATCTTTGCCAGCTAAATGTTTCTAAAAGCCACATCTTGCTTGATTAAAAACAAACAAACAAACAAGCAAAAATAAAACCAACCAACCAAACAAAAAAAACCTCAAAAACCTATTTAGTTACAAGCTTGTATAGCTAGAATACAGCCTTACTTATCACTCAAAGCTGGAATTAATGGGCCTGATCTGTTCTTTCTCCATCACTGAAAATCAGGATTAATTCCAACAAAACTGACATGATATTGATATACAAATAGTAAATAAATAAATGTCAGAGCTACTTAGTTTTCAGTTTAAATGCTGATTTCTCTTTATTGTAAGCTCTTTTCTCTTGACTTGAGCTTGGTTATATTAAGTGACTCACACAATACATTACAAAATACCACGTTTGGCGTTGCCTTTCCAAGCCCTCAAGAAATGAGATGCTGTTTTTCATTAAGTTAATCTAATAGGCAGCCACTTGAAAAACAAAGTAAATAAATCAGCAACAAAGAGTAACAAGCTGAAACACAGACCATATTTACTGACCTTTGTGCAGGAGAGTGGATCCCTTATCGTCCCGCTCATTAATATTGACTACGCCATTTCTCACTAGTCTTCTAACCACTAACAAGTCCCCTTTGAAAGCAGCATCATGAGCTGGGAAAGCTAAAACTGAAAATGAAATCCACATGTTTCCAAGCAGATGCCAGCAGTTCTACTGAACATACTGGTATTTGTCTCATAGTTCACCTTTCTCATAGCAGCTTATGTATGGACACTTCAGAAGCAGCAAGGATAATGCTCATTAATCAGCTAAAATACAGCTGTGTAACCAGCAGTGCTCACCAAACACTTGACTAAACATGTCTTGGTTATGGCTACAGGCGTCTCATACAGTTTAGAGATTAATTTCACAGACCTGAAATAACAAGTACACTTTTGTGTACTTCTACAGAATTACACACAATGCCTTTTTAAAGTGTGTCTTGATCCATACTCACCTTCCTGTGTCTCTGGATGTTCCTTCTCTTTTTCCACACCATCAATATATTGCAGAATATTATCTTTATAGAACCGTTCAGCCAAGTCTCTCGGAGTCTCACCATGGTCATTCCTGGCTTTCAGAGTGTGTGTAACACTGGCCATTTTCCCAACCAAGAACTTAAAGCAATGCAAGTGTCCTTCCACTGCTGCCAGATGTGCTACAGCACAAGTGAAACAAAGGGTGTTAGAGCTGAGCCCTGCTGCCCACTGGGAAAGCAATGCTCTCACCACTGGTTAGAGCTGGCTCATCTACCAGCACATGAGCCATCCCACACTGCACAAGGAGAAAAGCAGCCTCAGCTGAACTGGGGATGTTCAGCTCCCACCCAGGACAGAGTTGAGCTCTAGGCAAAGGAGGTAAAGCTGCCAAGGATGAGATCTGCAAAGGTGATTTCCTGCAGAGCTGACTGCAGGAGACAAAACAGACTCCCAACAGAGCAGCAAGGCCTAGCTCAGAGTGCACTGCTGGAGCCTCACCTCCCCCAGGAACACGGATCTCTGCCTTCAGCAGCTGCCTGACCCCACTAACCCAGGGATACTCCTTAGAGAGGGACAGCAAGCAGTGTCCTTGATTAGGAGCTAAGGCCATTTCTGCTTTAGGCTCTACTGTGCCACCACAAGCAAGGTGCATCACACCCTTGGCTTCCCCATCTATAAAATCAGGACAGTGATAGGTGCTTTACTGGACAAAATATTTGAAGGTACATTCCTCACCTGACCTCTAGGCCATGCAGAGGTTTACTTAATATCACTACAGTTCTGGGCCTACAAAAAAGTAAGAGGTACCAAACACATGTTGACTTGTTTAACACAAGTAATATTCTCTAATCCCATTAATGAGAAGAACTTGCCAAACAAATTCTTATTATGATCTATCACTCCATGAAAATGCTCTGTAACAGCTGGCTGATGTTCTAGAGGCAAAAGGATTAGTGAGATTCTTACCTGGAAACAAACTCTCTTCACAATGAATAAACAATGTACCCAGGACCCAAAAAACCCATGTCACTTCATTTCTGGCACACACAGGTTCTCTATAGCAAACCAAACCATCCACAGCTTTCCAGAGCATAATTGCTCTACCAGGTTATGGATACTGGTTTTACAGCAAGATAACAATACCTCTGTACAGATGATTGTTTAAAATCTGAGCTTCACTGAAAAAAGGGCAGTTTTTGCCATTGTCTGAATTTTAGTCAGTAAGTTAGGTTCTCAGGGAGAAGGGAAAAGAAGGGCACCATGCTAAAGGTAAGTCAGCTAGTGAAAAACTGATTCAACCCTTACAAATCCATGTTCAGATACCTAAAATCTGTTGGTATCTCAAATTCTCTGTATTTCATCATGTCTTTTATATAATCAGACTAACAATATTCACTCTTCTGAAAGCCACAAGTCAAAAAAATGTGCCTGAAAAATATTTAGAATAGGTTTGACTAACGAGCAGTAAAAGAAGCATGGATGCGGCCCAAAAATGAATACAGAGAGAAAGCAAATTGAAATGTTCAGTTAATAAGCACAGCCCATTCTGTACATTGAATGAGCCACAGAATTCTTTTTCTTCCAAAGTATTAGCAAGCAAATTAGCAAAGATAGTTAGACCCTTTGCTGTCACACACAAATAGAAAAGATGCAGCCAGTTTTTAAGTTTCAGGTGCCTGGCACTGCAACCTCAAAAAATATCTTCCAGTATTATCTTAGGAAAAATTATAGCATGGTTCAGCTAATCTTGAAGCTGAAGTGTGTAAAGATAATTTAAGTTCACTCCTGTTACACAAGCAGACAACAAGCTGGTTTGCACATTACTTCTACTAATCTATTACCAGCCATGTTCCAAATTATTCTCTTTCTTTTGAAAGATAATATAATCAAATTGAACAGAAGAAAGGTTGGAAGATCAAGCTCGTGTAGATGCCAAAATACAACAAACACCGTTTTACACAGAGCATCTAAGTAGAACTGTGCTGGCACCTACTTTCTCTCCACAGAAGTCTGTTATCAGGGAAGTGTTCCCAAGTGCAAATAAAGCTGCTTTCCATGCTGCCCCAGGGTGCCTAACATCATGACCCCCTACTGCTTATGCACCAGATCTCCTGCAGGGATGTGGGAGCCTCACATCCTTTAACAAGATCCAGGTTTCCAAAACAGAGCATGGCTATCTGTTTCTAGGTAAGGAGTCCTTAGTAGAGGGTAAAAGATTTTAAGGAGGGATTTGTAAAGATAACTCTATACAAGTTATAGAGAAAAACATATGCTCTTTGTAACAAATTATGTGACAAACTATAAGGAGGAAAATGAGAAAAGGATGCAAGGAGAATACAAGACAGGAATAATACCATTGAGCTTACAGAGGATATTGAGACAGTGGTATGGTAGGGAAAGGGATACTGGAGAAAATACAAAAAGCAAGGAACAGTCACTGGCAAATTTTTGTGCTAAAATAAATACACTGATAATTATGAAAAGAAATTACACATAATCCAGAAAAAGCAGTATTCCAGAAATCAAAATGAAGAAAACACAGGAAAATGAAAACAACTGTTTTACAAAATCAGTTAAGAAAGAGTGGGATACAAAAACTTGCATGCAAACAGACCAGAACCTCATTACACTGGGACCAATTCAACAAGGAGCACACAGCAGCTGAAACTGCCTCTGCCTCCACCTATCCTGCTCCTGTGGCCTCCACTGGCACAGGAGATGCTGCTCACCTGCTCCCAGTCAGGCTCAGCCTGCTCCCCATCCCAGCATTTGTGAGCTCTCATCCTTGCTAGCAGCAGCAGGAAGTGAATGGGATACTGTCACCAACAGAGCAACACTTTGGATTTTATAAATCCTCCCATCATTAGAAAAATGGACTGTCTATGTGGATTGCATGGAATCAAATAGCAAATGCTGCTGCTTTGTATTAGTTATAATTTGCTCAATCATCACATTTCACAGCAACTGTAAACCAAAGGTTTAAAAACATATGATTTATCCTGACATACCTGGAAGGTTTCCATTGTTATCCACATCATCTACACGTGCTCCCCATCGAACAAGAAGCTGCAAACACCCCAAGCGACCATGAAAAGCAGCATAATGAACAGGTTTCCAGTCATTCCTGTCTGAAACATTTGCATCCTAAAAATGAAAGTAGCAGGTTAATTCATTCACTTCTGAATCTTAGATACAAGACAAATTTTATATATGGGAATCAGCTGTTTATTATGTTAAATTATTTAAATCAAACCAAATAACATTTTTTCAAAGTTTATGCATTATATGCATTTCCACTTTCAAGAGAGGTACTTTTCACAGGTTCTTGCTTTTATTTAATACACTTAGAAAAGGTGCATTTTTAGATATGTTTTTATCATTATAATGACCAGAATTGGTCACTATTCCTTAAATATGCATCTGGACTAATTTTCTTTTTTTTAAAGTTTATGTCTCCTTTACTATAGAAGATTTTTTGAGCTGCAAAAAATTACCATCACCCCAGTACCTGATGTTCATTTAATGACATCCTCATTAAATGTGGAAGGTGATTTACTCACACTACTGATTCTCTCCACATTTTTTGACCATTTCCCTAAATGTGTATCACAACCTAACAAAATGGAAATGTAGCCACTGGAATTAATCGGCAGCCCAAAAATTCAGTGTAAGCGCGGGGGAGTTGTGCTTGTGGGAAGCTTTGGGGCTGTGTCCGTGCAGCAGGGCTGCAGGCAGGCCGGGCTCTCACCGCCCCGGTGCGCAGCAGGCTCTGCAGGGTGTACGAGTGGCCGTGCGCTGCAGCCAGGTGCGACGCCGTGCACCCGCGCTCGTCCCCATCTGCTGCGTCCGCTCCGCTCAGCAACAAGGCCTGAAAGGAATGCAAAGCACACGTTCATTTCACAAGATGGAAAAGCAAACATTTCCTAGAAGGATGGTTTATGATGACCAGCAGGGTAACTCTGTGCTGACCTCGGGGGCCTGGTATTGCACAAGACAGATCTGTTTGCACAGACAGCGCAAATGAGCGCTCTGGTTTGAAAATGGCTACCTTAATTTGAATGTCAAGACATCAATATAAGCTACTCATAGCTCCCTGAGGGGCTCCCTCAGCTGATCTTCATCATGAATTTGTCCAGTATTAACTAACTTTTGCTTGAGAGTGTTTACAGTACCTGCATGCAGGCATCCTGCCCTCGGATGGCTGCGAGGTGAGCCGCTGTCCAGCCTCTCGCGGTCACACGCGTGGTGTCAGCTCCGTGCCAGAGCAACCACTGAAGGCACTGCTCAACAAACCAAAGCGCCTTTTATTTAACTTTCACGTCGTGGCTCTGAGGCACATTTTAACTAGAATTTACCCATCACAGCTACATTTCAAAACAGTGTTGGACTACTTCCTTATGGAAATACGAGCCCCCAGAACATGTCTTAAACATGTATTTGTGCATTAGAAAGTTATAGGTAAGTTTTACTTTCCAGGTAACACCCAAGGGTACAAAATGTGTAAATAACCTACTAATTCAGATCCTAGCATCGATGTTACAGTATGACTTTTTCATTTTACTCTTCCAGATTTAAAATGTAATCTGTGAGAGTATTCACATGGCACGAGGTAAAAGCATGGAAAAAACAATGCGAACATGCTCACATGAATTCCAGCTAAAATTACTGGCAGGAAAAATATCATGTACTAAATTTAAAGCTTCATTTAATTTATTTGGCTTCTTAGGCATATGTAATCCCATCTCTCTTCTCATCCTTCCATGGCCTAGTTTTGTTTTATTCACCTTTTTCCAGCTTGCAATGGAAAGCTTTATGAACTAGCCAAAGTTCAGCTAGTTAGAACTTTTTATTATATATTATTATGATTTATTATCTTCTTTCAGGCCATCATACAGCTCTGGTTCCTCCACTATTTCTGCCAAGGAGCTTAGTGACAAACAGATGACAGATAATTCAATAAAGTCTAACACACTGATTGCAAAGTAGGAGAGTCAAATGAAAAATGGCAGAACTTAGAGAGGCAGAAAGCGTGGGTAAGCAATCTGGGTTTGGGGCTGACATGATGATTTGTATTTTCTTGACAGTGTCTTTACATTCCAGAAGCAGCACTGCACTTAGCAATTCTTGAGTTTAGCAAGAAGTTCACGTGTTTTCTTTTGGGACACAAATGGCCTTGGTCCTTCAAGGTTAGAGTGCCATGAACAATGAACAAGGAGGCTGCAAGAAAGTGAATGTTGTGCTGAACACAGCAATGCAGTCCTTCTGAAAGTTCCAAACATTGATGCAAGCATCAATTGATTTCTACATTGTTATTCAACATTTTCATTTATTAATATAAAATGTATTAAGACTACTTCTATGGAGAATGAGACATGGGACATTGGTAAGCAGAATGAACAGATTTTCATGTCACTTCTCACCTGTTTCAGTCACCTTCAGTCACCTTTTTACACATCCTACAGGATTTTCTAGGTGTCTCAAGAGAAGGAGAAAATGCAATAGAGACAAAAGAAAGTCATGAGTCTGAAAGGGAGGCCATAAGGCACATTTTGCTCAGAGTGAGAAAGCCAATGATTTCATAAAATACGGCAAAGTTGATTAGGTAAATTGCCTGGGGCTTTGGAAAGAAAAAAAATAAAATCTAAAATCCTGTACTCCTGCTCTTGGTGAATATATTTCATAAAAAAAGCAGGCAGAGATTATTGATTCAGTCTGATCAAAGCAATATTGTGTTCAGCCTCTCCCAAAGAAGGAAATACGGATGTGCAAAAGACTAGCTATGCCTATACACTAAGGTAATGTTTTACCTCCAGACTTCCCGAGTGGGCAGCACACTGCAAGGGTGTGAATTTGTGAACTACATCCACCTCATTAATACTGGCTCCACTTTTTATCATCGATGCAAGCTGTTCTACATCCCCAGCTTTCACTGCTTCATGCACACTAGTATAATTTTGCTTCTTCTTGACAACTAGTGAGGAGTAATAAAAGGGCATTAGTCCACTGCTTAAATCAGCAACATTTAAAAGATAGAGAATGTGTGATCAATCAAAGAAATACCAGAGTTGACATTCATGGCACAGAATCAAACTCTAAATGTAGAAGCAGTAGGGTAAAAGAAAAAAAATCTTCTGTCACCAGGCCATGGGATCAAATAACCTGTGTCCTCCCTTCAGGCCTTTACGCTGATTAACTACATGACTGGAAACAATGAGAATTACATATCCAAACCCCTTGCAACATCTTGATACCTTGACAAAGCTTGTACACAGAAATACGAGATGTAAGTGGATCTAATGGCTGAGGGGCCTAACTTCAGATAGCCAAACATGAAAGGAACCTAAACTAATTAGTATTCACCTTCTGCAGTAGTCATCATTCCTGTACGAAAGTGCACTAACACTCTGAATACATTTCACACTGCAGCAAGTCCTGAAGAATGGGGCTGCTGTTTAGCAAGTCAAGAAAGCATAAAAGTGAAGGTTCCAAGGTATGAGTGCCTCAGCCCCTCTGCCTGTGGAGAAAAAATGGTAGCAGCAGTTAATATTGTAATATTAGAGGTAAAAAAGATTGAAGAATGTAAAAGAGATACTGCACAAACATGTTCATCGTATTTGTAAAAAAGCATTAGATATAATTAAAAACATCCTCTGTAGTTTACCAGTGCTTATTTTAATGTAAGCTGTAGTGTGCTAGTAGAGCTGGGGCAGATTTGGGGTTGCCACAGAGAGGAGAGGGGGGTGAAGCTCCAGCACTCCAGTCTGACAGTAACACACCCCGTGTGTGCTGTAACACACCGCTGGATGCTGTGCCTGTGCCTCACCCCACCTCCACCTCCCCAGCTTGGCAGGTGGCATCACTGCCCTGCACAAAGCCTAGAAAACTTAAAAACCAGGACTCCATCCTGCAAAACACTGGACGAACAAACAGCAGCAGCACAGAAACACAGAATAATGCTGGCTGGAAGGGGCCTAAGAGTTCATCTAGTTCATGTTTCCAAATAATATTTCCAAAATATCTAAGTATGTTTTGAGGTTTGAGTTGTTTAGGTTGTTTTAAAGAACAGTTTCACCAGGACATAATTTTCCCCCGAGGAAGTAATTGCTCATTACTCCAAGTGAGGTTACAGACCAGCTGAATTACACAACATCACAGGCAGGCCTGGCCGATTACACCACTTAGCAAAGTTCTAATGTGTTTAACACAATGTTTCAGTACAGCAAGTTCAAGGCAACCTTTGTTTTTTATTTTTTTTTCTTAACCCAGAGGAAAATCAAACAAGGTCCTGCAGAAAGAATTTTATCTCCCCTCTCCCTCTGGATACTTACTACTGCATGGAGATGAATGGCAAGAGGTGGGCAGATGCATTGGCTTCTTAGCACAAGACAAAGGCAGCAGCCTGGGACTGAAACTCAGCAAAAAGCTGTTACCATAAATTCTGTAAAAAATATATGGATGTTCAAAGAGAAGAGCAGGCTTCATAATTCTAGTGCATTTTTTTTTCATCAAAAACTGTTACCAAACACCCATTCGATGTTCTTGGGAGAAAACTTTGCAGAAAGAATTCAGTAAGCCCTTTGAGGTCGGTAGCTGCCCAAAACCCAATTAAAGAGATAAGTGAAGAGGATATGGCTCAGAATAGGGAAAGGCACAATTTAGGTGCTGCGATGTTCCCGTAGCACACAGACCCAAGCCCTCGCAGCTCGGCTTTGGCAGCAGCGCCGGTTCCGCGGGAGCCGCCGGCCCGGCCCGGCCCGGCCCGGCCCGCTCTGCCGGGGCGGAGGCGGAGCTGCCAGGCCCGGGGCAGGGGCAGGGCCCGGCCGGCCAGCACCAAACACCGCCTTTCCCCGTTCTTTTGGCAGATACGGAACCTCCTCGGTGCCGTGTGTGGATGCCGGCGGAGCCCCGTGCCACAGAGCCGGGGGTCTGGGAGAGCCCGGCCCGCCCCGCGCCACAGGCGGCCCGCGGGGAGGGGACGGGGGAAGGAGCAGGACAGGGAGGGGCGGGCGGAGCAGTCTCACCGCCCGGAGCGGGGCACAGCCGCCCCTCGCAGCACAGGGGGCCGGCAGCTCGCCGCTGTCGCCTGAAGCAGCTCCGTGTTGCTGCTGCTGCTGCTCGCCGCCCCGGGGTTGCCATGGGCCCCGGGCTCGCCCTTCCCGCGGGAGGAAGGCGGCGGGCGGGGCGGGAGAGGCGCGGGCCCGGCCCGGCCGCACGGCACGGCCTGAGCTGCGGCTGCCCGGGGCTTCTGCGCCTTCAGGCAGCCCTGGGCTACAGCTTTCACGGGGTTCCCAGAAGTGTAACAAGTACCAATTCTCACCTCGGAACCCCCCAGTGATGCCCTGACCAAAAGGTATTGAACCAGCTTGTGCTCTGGATGATCGGACTCCAGTCACGTTGTGGGCATCTTAAACCGTCTTTTCCTGCAGTGATCTGATCCTGCTCCTCAGTTCCCTTAGTCAAAACCAGCTGGTACCCTGGGGGTAAGCCGGGTTCTTTTGATGTGGGGGGAAAAAAAAGGATCCTGTATTTCCAGCATCCTGCTTCCAGACACGATGAACCCTTCCCAGTCCCATTTAGAGGTGTGCAATGATAATTACGTGGACCAAGTGGGCTTAATGGACCATTTAGGGCTTAATTATCCTTGTCATTAGAGAGCTGTCATAAAGCCTATTTATGCAATTTATAGGTCTCATTTTTGTTCTATCTCCAGTAGACAGAGTAATTTGTTCCCTTTTCTGAACAGCCTTCTATATATTTAAAGACATCACGTCTCTCTCTGCTCAATCTACTCTGAACTTCAGTTGCTGGGATTTAGTTTACAGTATTCCAGGACACAAAGCTTCATATTTGGGCCAGGGGACCGGGCTAAATCCCTGCTCCAGGAAGAGGTTGCAATTACTAACGCAGAAGTAACTCCCCACAACAGTCAGCAGCCATCCACACACACCACTGTATGGACTGATACCACCCTGATCCAATGTAATTTTGTTCCTCTAGACTGTCTCTAATTTAAAAGCACTTTTAAGTCTGGTATCTAGAACAGGGCAGGCTTACAACTACAGCTCCAACCTTAATAGAAGAGTCAAAGTACTGCTCGCATCTTAAAAACTGCATGAAACCTGGGTGTCAACACGGGAAGAAGTTTTTGCAGCCAAACATCTCCTGCACTGCAGATTATTTCTACTTAAACACTAAGGGGGAATTCTGACTCCTAACTATTCCCACTGCAAGAGTAACCCACTAAGACTGTGACATTGCTTTGAGTTTTAGTGCTTGTCTTGCTCCCAGCAAGTTAAAAATACACACTGTAACTAGCAAAGTGAATAAAACATCTGAAACACAAAACTTTATTTCCAATCCCACAAACGTCCCAGCCACACACACCAATCATTGAAAGGAAGAGACTCACACTCCAATATATGCTTAGTTTTATTTATAACATTTAAGAAATATTAACATCTCAGGATATCTGGTTTACCATCTAAGTCCAGTCATAAGCAACAAAAAAGAAAATGTTAACCATGTTTCAGATGAGCATTCTTACATTCATTCCCCCTGTAATGTAAATAAAATTCAGCTTTATTAAATTTGTGTTTGACTAATGGAAAAAAAAATGTCTTAACTACCAGGCATCCTGGTTTGTTAGCTTTTTTTGTTGGCACTTGTGTTCACCACAATCAAGCACTCCAGTTGGTTTGTTAAATTTTCCCCTTCTACCCAGAACTGTCTTTTTGTGAGGTTTTTTTGTGGATTTTTTTTTATTATTTTGTTGTTGCAATTGTTTTTTTCAACATATGGATATGTAAGTTTGTTCAAATAACTTTAAAAAGGCAAGGAATCTAGGCCTGTTTGAGAAGCTCCTTCCCTTGATAACCCACCTATGGGATAACTGAAGGAAGAGACTTGCTTTCATTTTTCTGAATCGTATTAAGCAAAAATTAATTTTAATTAATTTTAAACTGAAAAAAGTACAGAAACACTGTCTTTATTTGATGGTGTGCATAAACATTACACTCCATATATAGCAAAAATATCTTTTATTTATAATTTACATTTCAACAAGTGAAAATTTTACATTTTTACATATACCATTAAATTTTCACGCATCTACAGAACTTTCACACAATGACACCTGAAACTGTGCAGGCAATAAGAAATTTCAAATACAAAAATGTATTTATTAACCAAACAGTAGTTGAGGCCCTGCCTCAGTTGGACATTTTTATTCATATAAAAAGTATTTGCCTTCCAGAATTAACACAGCAGCTCTTCTGTTAAAAAAAAAAAAAAAATCATACCGCAGTTTATTTAAACAGACTCCTCGGGTTCTGTTTTAATTTCTGTAGATGCAGGTGTGTTCTCTTCTGCACAGGCAGGAGGGGTGTCATTAGGTTCTTCTTTGATTTTAGGTGAGTCACAGGACTCTTCTGCTTCTTGTTTAACAATGTCCAACATTATATTTAGTGGATTTTCTGAAGGAGTCTTGCTGGGAGATGGTGTGCAATCAAATGATGATGTCTGCAAAGTGAAAGTCAATGTAGCATTACCACACTAAATTAACCATTTTTAGCCTTTTTGCTTTTTTTCAAAATGCAAGTATGCTGATGGTCAGGCACTCAAAATCCAAACTTCTACTTCATCAAACTTTTAAGAAAACAAATTATTTTTTAAATAGCATTACTTTTTTCTCAATTCCTTTGAAAAATATCACCAAGCAGTGATGAAATGCTTAACACATTACCATGAACTGTTTCCTGCTATCCACCCTCAGGACAATTTTAACTCCCAAAGCATTAAAAATGTCACACACACCAATACCCATCTACTCCATTATTACAAATTCCTAAGATTACACACATTGCTCCACAATAAATCCATCAAACCATGGCTTTGCTTTATGGCACACAAGCTGTCATGCTACATCACAACCAGAAATGCATCTCAGCTAATTCTGTATTATAAACTTGCCATGCCCAAGGCCTCCAACTCTTAGGCAAGAGAAATCCGTAGCACATTCTGCACACATCTGCTCCCTGCAAAGTCAAGAGATAAAGCAAACAAACTGAAAGCAAATGGCTTTCAAAAATATGAAGGATCCACTTACATTCTGGTAATCTTCGTAACAAGATGGATGGTAAATCTGAAAAAAAATTGTTACACATTTAAATATGTAAAAAGTTATAGTAGGATCACTGATAACAAACTGCACAGTGTCTATAACACATTACCACATAATTAATCTACTGAAACTGGTCTAAGCAGGCTAAGTATGGTGTAAACTATACCTGCAACAAGGTTTTGAGATGCTTATTTAGGAAACGTTATCATACAGAAGGCTAGTAAGTGCTGGGAATTACAGAAGCCTGGTGAGTGTTGGGAATTATCTCTGCACAGCTGCATGCAGAAATAATTGAACCCATATCTACACCCATAAAGAGAGAGATCCATTTTTCTTTGAGCACTGCAGTGTAGGAGAGGGCTAGTGAGCCCATACCAATGACACCAGGATTTCAGGCACTTCCAAAGGCAGAGATATTTATGTATTTGGAAGCCAGGAAAACTACAATAGGAATCCTTGAGGAGAAAAAGAGCACTTGCCACCTCCTCCTGGTTTTTTTTTCTCTAATTCTTCAGGGGTTTTACTATAAATTAGAATCACAAGTAAATAAGATCAGTTTACCTTTTCATCTACCCTGATAGCATTCTTCAGGTGCCACTCTTCCTCTTCTTCATCCCAATACTGTTCAAATTGTTCTTGGCAAATTTCACAGCTCTGAAAAGTTATTGGAATAATGAAGGTAAATGGTGTTATTGCAATTTGCTGAACACATGAAATTCAAGAACCTAGTAGGAGTCAAATAAGATTCCTTTAAACTAAGTATATTAAGGCCTAGAACATGATCTTTCCTCCACACCTTAAAAATCAATTTAATAATTAGCAAACCTTAATTAAAAATTGAGTATGGTTTGCAGAAAGACAAAGAAATCACCCTCTGCCCCTGAATACTCTTTGTCACTTGAGAAGGTAAGCTTTGCCCCTTCAGCTATGAAGTCTGAAAAGCATTTTGTAACAGTGTAATGCTGCCTTACTGCCATGTAAGACAAATCCATTACAGCAATTTAACTAGTTTTATTTATGGTATTATCTTAATTACTTCCCCTTAACCTGCAATTTCAAGTCAACAAGGGAGAACTTTTAGATGGAGTACTAACATTTTAGTACCTTTGTGAAAAATTATCAACCCAGAGAACAAAGCACAAAAGATGCTTTTTAAAATAAAAAAAAAAAAAAAAGGCCTTTCTGGTTTCATAGTTAGTTTCTTAGATTTAGCACATAACACTAAATTGTAGTTCTAACAACATTTGTATTTGATTATTACACCAATTCATCTACCAAAATACAGCTCTACTGGTTACTTTCAAATAGTATTTCTTTCTTCTAATGTCTATCTGCTACCAAAAAATAAATTTTTGTGTTTGATAGTATCAAAACCCCAGTAAACCCTGATCTGAATGACAAACGACCATCAAAAGACAAATCACTTACTCTACTCTACTTAAACATTCAGCAAATGAACACACTTTGCCCATGTCACTTTTGCTAAATCCACAGCAGAATGCCAATGGGTGTAGATTTTTTTAACTACAGATGGTTTATACCACTCCTGCCCCTAGGAAGCAACCATTACATACACAAATACATGACCTACGCACAAAGG